ATGGAGGGACTAAAATATATTTTAAAAAAAAAAATTCAAATGTAAGGTTTAGGAGTGCAGGGGCGTCTTTACCCGCCCGTTAAATAAGGAGGCGTAGGCACCTGTGGACGTGCTGGCGCGCGTGACCCGTGGTCGGGCAGTAGCGCTAAGGTGATGTGAGGACAGTCACAGGTGCTGCTGGGCCACCGTTGTCCACGTAAGAAATGTTCAAACCTGTTGAGAGTTTTGTGAGTTTATCTGAACCAAACCGATGACAATTGCTGGGAAGCAGAATCTCAACGAATTGAGAAAATGCCCCGGAAAATGGCACTTCTGCACCTGCTTTATACATTACGATCAAAAGAGAAGCCGTCAGTGGGCGACATGAAATCCACTGGTGCCGGTGAGGGGGGCGGGGAAAGCGAATGGGGGACACCTCTGGGATTGGATAGGGAGTGAAATGATAGACACGCGCTGCTGCCACACAGGTGGTGCGGTGGCTGTGCTTTGAGGGTCCAAAGGAAGCAGGGAAGTTGCTCTGTGCCTGTGAAGGACGCTTATCAGCTGTGTTACCCTAGATGCAAAAGGACGGTAGACGGCTCAGTTAGGGTGCAGATGGACTTGTGTCAGGGGAGAGACTGACCTAGGATACGACCACCCACCGTGAGCGCCTCAGGTCAGCACTCGGCCCCGTTTTGTCGCCACCGTGGCTGCTTCCTGTGTCCGCTGGAAGGAAATGCACCGCTCAGATAGAGGCAGTCACAGTGCGGCTGTGGCTGAGTCCCACCTCAGGCCCCTCCCTGGCCCTGGGAGCCCGGAGCCCTGGGGGGCAGTGGTCCCTCAGAGCGCTCAGCCCTGTTCTCTGTCCTCCCCCACCCAGCTCCCCTCCCGCCAGCTCCAGCCACAGAGTCCCCCCAAGAGCCGCGCCTGGGGGAGCTGACGGTGACGGATGTGACCCCGAGCTCCGTGGGCCTCTCGTGGACGGTTCCTGCGGGTGAATTCGACTCCTTCGTGGTCCAGTACAAGGACAGGGACGGGCAGCCCCGGGTGGTGCCTGTGGCCGCAGACCAGCTCGCGGTCACTGTTCCCGGCCTGGAGCCCGACAGGAAGTACAGGTTCCTGCTCTTTGGGATCCAGGAAGGGAAGCGACACAGCTCCGTTTCTGTGGAGGCAAAGACAGGTGAGAGGGACCCCCTGAAACTAGCCGAGGCCCCTCTTCACCCTCCTGGTCTCCTGTCCTGCCGCCAGGCCCCCCTTTGTGCTCCTGTTTCACTGGACAAGCCCTCCACCTGCCCAGGCCCCTGACAGCCAGGCCGGACTTCCCTGTCTTCCCACAACCTACGCCTGTGAAGGGGAGGCCCTAACCCCCTCCAGGACGTGGGGCCTGGGACAGGTGCTGGGAGGGGAGAAAGGAGCAGAGCCCCGCCTCCCTGCCCAGGGGCCTAAGCCCGGGGGTCTGGCCATCTCCCCTCCGACTCTCACCCGAGTTCTCACCCTGTTGGCTCAGGCCCATGGGTCCCATATCTGCCCCCAGGACCTCTGTCCTCCCCTGGCCTCCTCTCGGAGCCTGGAGACGGGACCCCAGGAGCCCAGGGCTGGCGGCCTAGCTGCCCCTTTCCTGGGTTCGGTCTGGGCCCTCCTTGCCCCAGGGGCTCTCTGTTGCCAGAAAACTCCAGTAGCAACAACGTGGTCAGCATCCTTGCCATCTGGGAGGCAGCACGCCAGCTCCTCCCAAGCCTCAGGTGGCTTTCTGCTCCCACACCAGATCGGTCCCCTGTCTGAGCTCCCCGTCTTCTCCCCGACCCTCACTCAGGGCAGCCCCTCCACCAGGGCCTGTGAGGGCAGCACCAGGAGTCAGATGGGCAGCATCAGGGGCCTTTGCCCCACCCAGAGCTGCCTGGGGGCAGAGCCCCTCCTGGTGCAAGTGGGCGGAGGCGCAGGCAGCGGGATGGTGTGGACGGAGGGCGGAGGTGAGGGACGCACTGCTCATCTGGGCAGTTCTGGGTTTGCACTCGAGAGGCCCGAAGGAGTCACTCTGGAACATAAACGCCGAACCGTCCTCTCTGCCTGGGGCCCACGGTGACGCCAGCCCGCAGGCCCCGCCCCGCCTCGGGGAGCTGCGGGTGACAGATCCCACCCCGGACTCCCTGCGCCTCTCCTGGACGGTCCCCGAGGGCCACTTCGACTCCTTCGTGGTCCAGTTCAAGGACAGGGACGGCCCCCGGATGGTGCCTGTGGGTGGCCACGAGCGCTCGGTCACCATCACCCCCCTGGACAGCGGCCGCACGTACAGATTTCTCCTCTACGGCCTCCTGGGCAAGAGACGCCACGGCCCCCTCAGCGCGGACGGCACCACAGGTGAGGCCGCTGCCGCTGCCCGGGCGGCTGGGAAGGTGCCTGGCTCCCTGCCTGGCCTTCCCCGTTGTGACCGGGTCGCAGCCTCTGGGCTGGGATCAGTCCCGCCTTCTCCCGTCCTAAGCCCACGGCACCAGCCCTTGGCGACTCAGCCCTGGCAGAGTCAGTCTCTGGGCCTCTCGCTCCCACCCTTCGAGGTCATCCAGCCTTCCCGATGCCTCAGCCGGCTCCTCCGTGTCTCCCTCTCAGAGGCACAGGGTGCTGCGAGTGTCGCTGGAACAAAGCGCCCCCCAAAGCCCCGTCTGGGGGCAGAGCTACAGGTGACCAGCGTGACACCGGACTCCGTGGGCCTCGCATGGACCGTCCCCGAGGGCCAGTTTGACTCCTTCCTGGTCCAGTACAAGGACAGGGAGGGGCGACCCCAGGTGCTGCCTGTGGAGGGCGGCCTCAGGGAGGCCAGAGTCTGGGGCCTGGACGCTGCCCGCAGGTACAAGCTGCTGCTCTACGGGCTGCACCAGGGCAGGCGCGTGGGGCCCCTCTCGGCCTTCGCTGTGACAGGTGAGTGTGACTGCCGAACAGACTGTCCCGCCTCCCTCCAGGCTCTCCCCCTCCCCCAGTCTCCAGCAACACTAGGGCCGCAGGAGCCGAAGGGAGATGGCGGGCAGGAGAGGCTCACTGCCCCTTAGCACACGATGTCAGCACTGGGGTGACCTTGGGACACACCGAGGGTGTCTTCCCGACCAGCTCCTTTCTCAGACATGAGGGAC